GGGCCTGCTGGGGGTCCTGGCAAGCGTACCAGTGCTGGGAGTCCAGGCTGTTGCTGCTTTTGCGCAGGATGGTGGGGGAGCTGGCGGGCGGAAGTGCTACTCTCCCCACCCTCCTCATCCTCCTCGTCTTCCTCCTCGTCCTCCTGCTCATCCTCCTCCTCCTCCAGGCTCTGCAGGTGCTGCTGGCTGCCCCCGTGCTCCTGCGCACGCAGCTGCTGCAACTGGTTCTGCAGGCGGGGGCGGCGTCCACAGGGGCAGGTGGGCTGTGAGCCGCAGCCCCACCAGGCCGCCCGCCTGCCCGCCGCCCGGCATTCTCTCACCTGGGCATTGTAAATGGAGTCCACCCAGCCCCGGCACAGAGCCTGCCCGCTGGCCTGGAACGTGTAGGCCCCCACGGCGCTGTGGAACTCGTTCAGGTAGATGAGGAGGAAGGAGCCTGCTTAGGAAGGGCTCGAGTCAGTGTCCGCCAAGACCTCTGCCTGCCCTGCCCATCACAGCCCTGGCCCAGGGGCAGGGGGCGGGCTCCTCACCAGGGTCCCGCAGCTCCCGGCACACGATCTTGTCCACCAGCAGTGGTGGCCTGATGACCTTGGTCCTCTCAGCCTTCTTCACTGCCTTGGTCACCAAGAGCAGGTCCGTGAAGAGGAAGCAGTACACATCCATCTGGGGGGCAGGGGGAGCAGGAGAGGCCAGGGGTCAGAGCCAGGGTCCTGGGGCCTCAAGCAGGGACCCCTACCTGCCCGCTGCAGCGCCCTCTCCTGGGGGGACTCAGGCTTGGTCAAACACCTCCCCTGTCCTCATAGCCATGAATGTGAGAGCAGAATTAAAAGGAAGAGCAAGCCCTAGCTGGTTTGGCCCAGTGGATACAGCATCCGTCTGTGGACTGAGGGTCCTGGGTTCGATTCTGGCCAAGAGCACATGCCCAGGTTGTGGGCTCGGTCCCCAGTGGGGGGCGTGCAGGGGGCAGTCCATCGGTGATTCTCTCATCATTGATGTTTCTATCTCTCTCTCCCTCTCCTTTCCTCTCTGAAGTCAATTAAAAAAAGGAAGAACAAGACAATTTTCTTTCATTGAACTATAGACTTGTGACTTATTTAAATTAAAACTTGATATTAAAGAGGAAAGGGAGGTAAATTTTATTTTATTTTTAATATATTTTTATTGATTTCAGAGAGGGAGAGGGAGAGGGAGAGAGAGAAACATCAGAGAGAATCATTGCTTGGCTGCCTCCTGCACGCCCTCTACTGGGGATCGAGCCTGCATGTGCCCTTGACCAGAGTCGACTCGGAATCCTTCAGTACACAGGCCGACATTCTAGCCCAGCTGTGGGCAAACTATGGCCCGCGGGCCGGATCCGGCCCGTTTGAAATGAATAAAACTAAAAAAAAAAAAGACCGGACCCTTTTATGTAATGATGTTTACTTTGAATTTATGTTAGTTCACACAAACACTCCATCCATGCTTTTGTTCCGGCCCTCCGGTCCAGTTTAAGAACCCATTGTGGCCCTCGAGTCAAAAAGTTTGCCCACCCCTGTTCTAGCCACTGGGAGGCAACTTTAAAATCCTGACTTGCAGGCTCTGGGCTACATGGCGCATGATGGATTACTAGCTCAGTGCAAGCGTCTGTTCCTGGCCTGCTAACGGAGTGTGCCCCCTCCCTCCCACCAGAAACCACATGGCATCCAGTGGGCAAGACAGGCACCCACGGGCTGTGGCCATGCTGCTGAATTTGTAAAGCGCAAACTGCAGGCAGATAATCATCCCTCATAGACCACAAGGGTCACTAGTTCTTGAAATCACCGCCCAACTGACTGGGCAGCTGAAGAAACCACTGGTTCCCCCCCAGGAGGTGCCCCAGGGAAGGGAGTAGCCCAAACCCTGCAGGGGCAAGCGGGGGCGGGGCAGGGGGCCCCTGCACACCGGGGGTGGCCCCCTAAGAGGCACCTTGCTGTCCTTTCCCTTCTTTCATCCTCAGGTTGCCCTCCCAACAGCAGCTGAAGCGTCTCCTCCCGGGGAGGGCACCCAGGGAAGGGGCGGCGGTCAGGGCCAGGGTGCGGAAATATCCTTCCATGAGACTGGGGGTGGGGGTGGGAAAACCGCAGGTGCGGGGGGCCAGGGCTGAC